GAGAGAGAGAGAGAGAGAGAGAGAGAGAGAGAGAGAGAGAGAGAGAGGGGGAAGGGAGCGCGAGCAGGACCAGAGGGAAGGGGGAAAGAAACAATACGCGCCGTATACACATATATATATACCCTTCGGGGTAGAAATTAAAACTAAAATGAAAAGTCCACTCTCTTTTCGCTTAGCTGAAGTAGAGTGTGCGCGCGCGTATCCCGCTTGTCCTTTCCCTTTTTGGATGTCACACTTCTTGTCTTTGCCATTTCCCTCATTCGGTGCTTCCCTGCCCTCCCCCCCCCCCCCCCCCCTTTCACTCCCTCCGCGTTATGACCGTGGTACGGGCGGCGGACGCGGCTCGCAGCAGCGGCGTTGCCGTCGACCCGCGACTGCAATTTTAACTGCCGCGCCTAACGCACTGCCTCTCCGCGGCGTTGTCAACTCGCCGAGCAGCCGCGGGGCCGACCGGCCGCGACCGCGGGGAGACGACCTGCGGGGCCCTTTTGGGCCTCTAAATGGAGCCGCGAGCGGGTCACGCCTGCCGCGGGGGCGGGGCGGGGCGGGGCGGGGCGGGGCGGTGTCAACAAAGGGTGGCGCCGCGCGTTTTTTTCTCACGCCCCTTCCTTCCTCTCCCTCCTCTCCCTCCGCCCTCCGTCACCCACACCACAACTGCATGCAGATGTAAGACAAACACCGAAATAACATCACGCCTTCACCCACCCACCCCACCACCTCGACCTGCACTTTGCTACTAGAGCGTTGTTTTGTTTTCGGAAGAAAGGAAATGCTCGCTGTAAAAAATATCTTTGTAAATTTACAACATTTTTCTATTTTTTAAATATGTTGTAAATCAACGACAAGCCCATCCCTGCTCGTCAATGAATTCCAGGCGGATTCAGTTCTTGTAATTTTACAATTCTGAGCTTTGAGATTCTAAACTCTACAACAACACACATCACGGAAAATGTTCCTGTCACCCTTACAAGTTTTTCTCACGGTGCTCTGAAGTGAAACTAAATGTTTTGTATTTTGCTCCAGGTGGACCGGGAGACGCCGCCGCTGCTGGACGTGGAGTCGGCTGAGAAGTACGACGCGGGCGCCGGCTCGGCCGAGGACGCGGTGGCCTACATGAAGAAGGCCCGCCTGGACGAGGTGGCCGGGGCGGGCGGGCTGCCCGGCGCCGTGGCCACCGTGGCCACCGCGCCCACCACCTACCTGCCCTACCCGCCCGAGTGGTACTGGTACGACACCTGGGCGCTGTCCGCCTTCCGGCCCTGGCCCTCCATCTTCACGGCCACCAAGGACGGCAAGACGGCGCCCATGCCGTTCCTCAGAGAAGGGTAAGTTAGCCAGCCCACGCCGAACAGGCCGCCCCAGAGGGGTGCCTCACTCAAGAAAAGGAAGAACCCCTCGGTCTGTCCAGCTGCCCTGCTCTAACGCCGCCCCCTCCCCCGTGTTGCAGGCTGCCCGGGGTGCCGCCGTACCTCGGCCACGGCGCCCCCGTGCTGGTGCACCCGGACCGCGTCGTGCCGCTCGGGGACTACGACCGCTACGACCGCTTCCAGCCCAACGTGGCCCTCATGTCGGTCGCGAACCAGCCCGAGGGACGAGAGGTACGCAAGCGAAACACCAATGTATGTCCTCTCTCCTCTCTGTTTGTTTGTTTTTGCAAAGAGAGAAAACGCTTTATTCGATTGATTGAGTTATTTCGTTTGTTTTATTATTTCTGGCCAGTTTTAATCAACGCCCGTTTTGTGTTGCAGGAGAAGTACTCCCACGTGGACGTGACGAGTACGGAGGACGAGGGTCCCAAGTCCCCCAGCCACGCCGTGTCCACCATCACCCTGAACCCGTCGCGGCGCTCGCCGTCGCCCCCGCCGTCCTCCCCCTCCCTGCCC